CTTCTCCGAATTAAAAAATTTATAAAGGATAAGAAAAACATATTTATGATGAAATTAATTTTTCCCATATCCTCTGACTTTCAGCTTTTATTTTTTTTAAAAACAGCTATTTATTACTAATTATTATTAGTATTGCTATTACTATTTATATTAAATCATCTCGTACGGCATGCAATATATAACTAATAAACGTTGGATATATATAGATATATGTTATTTCTGTGAATAAATGCGTTTATTCTCAAGTAAATGAAAAGAAACGTTTCTAAAGTGTCAAGAAAAGAGCACGAAGAAAACAGGAAATTAAAGATTCAACACTCATATGACCTTAATACACAAACACATACGTATACACAGGGGTTTATATATATGCGCATACATTCCCGGTGATGATTTAAGCATTGAAGGCTGATCGAATAAAATGACATATGTAAACAAATTTTAAATTCATTTTCCCATTTACTTTTTTGTTTTAATATTCAAGTTAAGTAGTATGGGGTTTTTTAAGTGATAACTTTTATCTCAACTGATAGATTACTGGTTAAAAAGTTTTTTAAATCACTATTTCATGAAGTAATTAAGCTTATGTCAAACTTATCAAACGGCAACTAGACTTCGGTTTACACCCTTCGGTAGCTATTGTGTCACTTTACTTGTGAATAAATATGAACAACTCAAAACTTTCATAATAAATTTTTGGTCTCAATGCAGACTTGATCATAAAGCAATATTAGTCAGAGAATCACTGAAAAAAAGAGAGCACAGGACAGATGTTTCATCGTAGTTTCGAATTTTTCAGCAGTGCGCACGCATAACCCAATGAAGGATCGAACCCTGGAACTTCAAGTTATGAAGTCATTGCTAGTTGAGGATACATGCGCTTATATTGGGATTCAGTGACCTTTGAATTCTAGCTTCTGATATGGCGACACCGCCAGCAAATGCTGCTACTGAGTTTTCAGTTCACCCTGACATGGGTGGTAACCAGAAGGCTCAGGAGTCGGTGCTTATTGAAGTCGTCGGTGGGCACTGATGGGGAATTTTAAACTAGGACAAAACATCTGTCCAGTACTCCCTGGTTTTTAATGCTTCTATAACGGATGTGTTTTCGTGAAGAAATTCATACTCAAATTAATCTGAATCTCTACAGAACTTATGATCTGCAAATAACCATTAGTCCGCATTAACTTGATATGTACTCCTGAAAAATAGGACAGGTGTCTCCGCCTCTTAAGCAAGGCCCATCTACGACTCCGTCAGAGATCGGACTTAGAACGCTGAAGTTATGAGGCTATGAATGATGCCATAGTTTCATTCTTCTTTGGATTTATATTAGCCTTGAAATATGTTCACAATATCATTCTAAGGATCACCCAGGAGAAGCTCATTCATGTTAAGCAACCTTAAGAATATCAAAACTTAAGTGCTTTAATAATATATAATATAACAGTTTAATATTACCAATCGGAGGCTATGTGCAGATAATAATACTATCTGAAGGAGGGAACATAAGCAAAATGCTTACAACTGAATCACTTCGGTGTTTAGCATACATTTTGCATTTAATGTCACTTATGCTGTCTGGGTAAACATTATGGATTAATTCAACTGAGAAATGTTTAGGAAGTATCTGTGTCTCTACAGGTGCATGTATGAAAATCCCTTGGTCAAACATTTAATCTAAGTATAGAACCTTGAAAAAAGGTGCCAAAATTATGATATATGGCATAGGAAATTATTGATATGCAATAGTGAAATATGAGATTACATTCACAAGTTAATTGTTAACTCTACGGTAACTAATACCGATGAGTTATAATTGATAGGTGTAAGTCAGGTTTACTCAACCTACCTATTTCTACCTTTTGAGAAGAATTTTTGAAAATGTGACAATATTAGCATAAATAAAACATTATCAGAATCCTAATCTGAAAAATATAACTTTAGTGTCAACTTTTAATAAATACATTCTTAAATCTTTCTAAAACATTTTTGTCACTCTAGTATAAGAATCTAAGTTACCTCGAGTTTGGTCAAGGATTGTTATCAGTTCAACAACCACTGGAAACCAGGCAGTACTGGACAGCTGTTTCGTCGTAGTTTTGAATTCTCCGGGTTTCGAACCCAGGATATTCCTCCTGCAAGGCAAGCTCACAGTACTCCATGCTTTTCAAGGGTTATCCAACTGTTATCAATCCGTGATCGAACTCGAGAGAAATCAAATACCTACAAAAAAACTCTTGAAAACTCACAAATGTGAATATGAGTGTTCAAAGGCTAATTGCAACCGTCTTTTGCACTTCGGAATAGACTGAAAGCTTCAAGCTGATATTCAAGTATCCCATGAAGTACTGATCTATCAACGATTAATTATAACTATTGGATACCATCACTAAACTACCGTTTTGACTCATTTATAATACGTATACTTGTAAATCGATAGGCCTAAGAATATCAAGCTACTAATATATTTGCCACCTAATGAAATACATGAATACAAGATAAGTAAACTTGATGTTTGCTTTTAAATCGCATTAAAACTACTTCTGTAAAAAAGGATAAAAGCTACTCCTCTCAAATGCTTACATAAGAACTATAGATAAAAATAATACTCAAGTTACTTTGTATCTCCCATTGATAAATTTATTATCGACCTAATTTTTTCCCCTCCCCTGCATTCTGAGAAATTCACACGGCTTCAAGCTCTGAAGCTTCGGTGATTGTGACGTTATTCTAACTGGGTGGGTTGCTGGTCTCACACCTGGCTTTTCCTCTTTTCCAGACTTACTCCAAGCTGGGCGACGATTAAGACTGTGTCTGCTATCTTATGGCAGTCTAATATCCTACCACTGGACAACCGATGCTAAGTCCATAAATGTGGACGAAGATTTCATCTAAAAATTTGTGTAATTATTGTTCTAATTTAAAAGTGTATGCAGTCATTAAAAAGTCTAATATTTTAAGTCCCAGTGACCTGTGTAGACACAAGATGTTTAAAAAACATATTAATGAAATTTCTTTCAAATAACTTCCAGTTTGCTTGGGAGAGGTGTTTCGAACACTGCTGCTACTCAGGTTTTCCTTTTCTGAGTTCAGTCATCCTTCCACTATATTAATATTATTATGATGAACTGAAGATATCTCAGGTAGTTTTAACAGCAACCTATCCTTTATCGCCCCTCATAATCACTGGAAATATGAGTTGAGGAGAGCTTCTTTAGTAACCAGTCTGATAATGATGAGTGACTGAAGGGTAGATTTTCTCATGAAGCCACATCATCCAGGGAATCATTGCAAAACAAGGAGTACAGGACAGCTATCTCCGCCTCTTAAGCAAGGCGCACCCACGACTCTGTCAGAGATCGAACTCAGGACCTTCAGGTTATGAGGCTAGCCAGTTAACCAATCAGTCATCTGCACCGGAATTCAGTGACCTAAGAATTTCAGCCTTGACATTCCACGATACAGAGCCACCACTAATCATTGCCATCTTGAGATGATGGACGACACTGGCCGCAACTTCTCATTACAACTTCGGGAAATCCACAAGCAGCTGCCGATCAGCTAGAGATCATTATATAGATCACGGTTTTTGTTGGGATTTGCATTGATTTCAATGTAAATTTTTTGCCAGTACCATAAATATCAGTAATTTTCCAAATGATGCTAGTTCATGGGGTAATACAAATCCTTACATAACTCATAATTCAAACGACGAATGAATTCGTATGTATCTCTTTGTTTGCACCATAGGCGAGTTGATTTCTTGACCTGGTCAGTAACTGAATCTTGTAATATATTCCGCTGGTCATTGTTTGGAATCCTGCGGTGATCTAGGATTTCTATTCATTACTTCTTTACATGCTAAATTAAGTTACTTTCGAGAATTTTACAAGTATCAGTTTAACTTCTTCGCTGTGTGATACGAAATGTTTGATTATATAGTAAAAATACATGATACACATGAAATTTAAGTGCTATCGTTTTCCATTTTATATGTAATTCTTCCCATCAAGGAATATTTCTGCAGGAAACGCAGGTTAGCCACATACTATTTATTCCTGGTGTTACCAACTAGATATGATATATTCGAGCGCTATTTTTGGGAATAATATTTGAATTTACATATAGTACCATTTATACTGTCCACAAGAATTCGGTCTACCAGAGCAATTTTCGAAGTGAAGCTTTCGAATTCACTGACTTTAAGTTCTGCAGTTTTAAAGGTGAAGCATTTCACTAGAAACTATACTGAACTATACTGCTTACTTTCTGTCTTCAAAATGAATAAAGTTAAATAACTTGAAATCACAGATGCTTATACCATGTGAAGTTGGTTTTATCTGTCGACGACAATTTATAAGAACTTCGAAGTTGATGCATATTTTACGATAATTGAAATTTAGTGCAGTAATTATGAGTTGAAGGTATTCGACAAGTTGCTTAGACACACGAACATATGACTGTGAGTGAACTAGAATATCTATCTGGATAACTTGTCAGCACGTTTCCTACCGTCATTTCGATATGTTTTTAAAGAAGGACTTACGTGTTGATAAGTAATTTAGCTACATTCGAACTAAACCTGTCCGTAGAACTATGTAAATGGTCAGGGTTTGATTCTCGGTTGACGTATTCGTAAACCTCATCTAACCGGTAGGAAGTCAGGCGGACAGAGAAAAGGTTGAATGTTAGTCTAGCAACTTCCTATTTTTAAAAAGCGTCACTACTATTCAAACTTTGAAGCTCACTCCTGAAGACTTATGTTCCACTCTTAACTCAAAGGATTGCGAAACAATATATCCATCTAAAAGTTCACCATTTACCAAAAGTAACGTATAAATACAGAGGCGATTTTTAAGCAATTTCAGAGTCTTTATAATCAAATATTAAACGCTTAGAACTATACCACTTCAGAACACGTGAGTAAAATCAAGTCAAACAAAATAATTATTCATTAGTTTACACCAATTAAGAAACAAAAAGAGGATTGAAATTACCTTGAATTTGTACAATCAGCATACAGGATATCAAATTCTTGTGGTGCAATCAATTTGCATCGATTAACACCTGGTTGTATTGCACCTAACCCTCTGAGTATACGTACTTGTTCAACATTGCATACAACTGGTACAATCTCTAAACGTTTCAACTTTGTATACACCGTATGCAATCCCCCGACTAAATGTTTTAAAAATAATTCAAATGCTTGTGGTAAACAGATTAAATCACGTCCATTGACAGTGAATGCTGCCAAATGAGCTCCACGATATTCTAAAAAGTGCACCTGATTATTCTCTGGTAAATTTGGCACTGGATTTGGTGTACAATAAGCTAATGATTTTGCTGATAGCTGCTGACTCCCTCCATTTCCGCTGCTATTATTATTAATATTATTACTATTGTCATTATTATTAGTAGTAGTAATGTTACTGTTATGCTGTAAATTATGACTAATTTGTGGTAGTTTTAATGCAATAAAATTTTCAAAATTCCATGAATCATTTGATGTAATTTTTCTAGATAAATCCATGATACTTGATGATAATTGGTCTTCAGTATCTACCAGATTATTGAAATGAGCTAATTTGTTTAACATGCTGTACTTGACTGTGTTCCTTTCTCCTTTCGTTCTTTATTTCTTTCTAACCTTTTTTTCAGATTCAATATTCAGTGAAGAAGAAAGAAAATTCAAATGACAAGGATGAATGTTTGGAAAATAAAATCACAACGATATGAATTAAGTGGTACTAACTGTCTTGGAGATTATTGTCAAAAGTACAAACTGGATCAGGTTTTCAACAGAGACAATAAGCGATAGAAAGATAGTGAGATAACAGGATGGTTCGGTATATATTAACAACCAGTTTCTTTGTGTGGATAGTAATGTATTATTCGAAATGGGAGGAATAATTAGATTTCATTTGTACAAGGGAAAAATGAGTACGTTTCCCTTAAATTTGTATCTTAATCTTCCTTCTGTAACACTCAGGTATTTCTTATACGTCTGTGCGCATATTTATATCAGTTGGAAGGCATATTTATATATATGGCTAAAAACGTGTATGTAGTAAGGAAAACCTACTAGAGAAATCATTGAAAAATTCAACCAAAAGAAAACCAAAAGAATTATTTGAGATTTATGTCTGTTTATTTAGTTTTCCCTTCACACTGTCCCCTTACCCCATTTCTTTTGCATCCAATACCTATGAGAATATTTATTGATAACAGTGATATCATGACTACAGAAGTTAACAAAAAAAAAAAACTGTTTCTACTACAACACTGGCAATGATACCAAAGATAGGTAAACTGATTCTCTTTGCTTCAAGAATACCTTTGCAAATCATAAGGAAAATATTTGTTTTCTTGGATAGAGAGAATCAAAAATGGCATGAGATTTGATTAACCACCGATACCCACAGATGAGTGAGTATCTGCTTACCTACATAGAAACGATATATACACACAGGCATGGAAACATCAAGTGTGTTTGTGTGTGCGTGTATTTATGCATGTACTCAAGTTTCACTTCTATGTGATAAGCATGTGTGTATTACTCTAATCGAAATACAAAAAGAGAGAAAATTATTTATTTTTTCTTTTCTTGTTCTTTTGTTTTATTTCTCTGATATTTATCCGTTTGTTTGTTTGTTTGTTCGTTTGATTGCTTGGAATTATCCAATCAGTCGATTAATAGGGGAAGAAAAACATGAAAAATCTGTCTCTTTTCATTTTGCCCCTTTCATATGCGACAAATAATTTATATTCCATTCTATTTCATTTGTAAATTGTTCATCATAACGTATATATATTTTTCAAGTATTGGTTTTTGTAGGGATTTTGTTTGATTGGTTGGAGGATTTCATCATGAGCTGACATCAGTTAAAGAACCATTGGAAAACCACCTGAGAGTACTGGAGAGCTGTTTCGTCCTAGGTTGGGACTCTTCATCGGTACTCACTGATCGGGTCCCAGTGGCTTAATGGTCTACGAGATCGCTAGCTTTGTAACCAGAAGGCCATGGGCTTGAATCCTGGTGGGTGCATACTGATGAAGAGTCCCAAAACAGGATGAAACAGCTGTCCAGTACTCCCTGTAGGTTTTCCAATGGTTCTCTAACTGATGTCAGTTCATAATGAAATCCTCCAACCAATATATATATATATATAATTCTCTATCACCAGTCGCAGTTTCTCAGACATGAAGATTAGTAATAGTAATTATTACTCCTACTGTCCGCTGAATTATGTAAACTCTCTCCAAAGTAAAATACCAGATTGTGTTACCTTAATTTGACGGCACTCTACTTAGTAACTAGTGTAATGTGTCTAGTCCTCATTCGTTTGATGCTGGCTGAATAGCTCAGTGGTAACTTCTCTGACCGCAACAATGTGTTCGAGTCTCAGAAGGGGACGTGACTTCCTTCAAGGTTTCAGAAACAACTCGCTGATGAGTATCAGCTAGCACGAAATCTAGGTTCAGCGCTTCCTGTCGACTGTTTCCAACCACCTGGTATCAACAGTTCACGGTGCTACCATAAACTTTGTAATAGTAAATGTTGTAGATATTTCTTTCACGTAGTAAATTAAAAACAAGCATTAATTGTGAAAAAAAAACTTTTTTCATGGTGAAGCTTTAACAAAAAAGTCACATTAAGACCAAAATATTTGCTTTCTAATGTGATGTCTCAGATTACAGGTTAGCTGATTGCGTTGTTTTGTCATTTATTTATTAAATGTTTTATTGGGAAGTGTAATTTTATCAACAGCTTGGTAAGATAACTTAAGATAACTTATGGACTACGCGTCAGCTAGGTGTTCAGATGGGATTCATTGATGCGATTGGGCCGATCACTCATTCAAGGTTAAGGCTTATCAGAAAAGATCTATCAGTGAATTCTAGAAAAATTAGGGTTTTTGTAGAAGATTCAAATAAAAATTTAAAAGTATTCAAAGTGGAGAAATTATTACATTCCCTGAAAAGTACTAGGTTAAACTAAAAGTTTGGCCGTAGTTCCTTATCCCTTCCATACTGGGACGAATCAGAATACAACCAGTAAATAACACTAAGATCAAGGATAAAGAACATGATTAACCGGAAAGATGTATGTTAAACTATTGCACAGTATTGAAAATTAAACGAATAAACTTCTGAACTGAAAGGTGACACAGATTTTATCCCACATAGTTAGTGAACGGTGTACTGAAGTAAAACACATGCCAGAAGGTATGGCATATCTTGACCCATACAGAAGACTACAATTTGTGTAGAAAGTTGGTTAAGTAAACAAAAATCTTTCAAGAGAAATTATTTTCAATTTACAGGGATTTTCATTCTTAAGATTCAGGAAGGTAGTGGCTAAGGATATATTAATTTATTATTATTTTTGTTCCCTTGTGTCATAAATGTAACACAGGGATTCAACAGCACGCCTCTACTTTGTCCTTTCTTCTGCGATCCTCTTCAGCAGATCCCACGGTTGCCCATAGTTTCTCATCTCCTCCACGTATGATTTCCTTCATGTCATCCTTGGACGCCCGACTCGTCGTTCCGCCCTACTGATGGCCTGGGACGTAATATCATTCGACGATCTCCTCAACGTGTGTTTGTGTATATAGCAAACCCTGGCCAGTAATGATTATTCAATCTCAAGTCAGTTAATATATGTTGACATAAAATACTTTAGAGAGGTCATTTGTCTGTTTGCGCAGAAAAACATCTCGTCTTAGCCCACACCAGAAAGACAGGCTTTAATCAACAGCACATCACAAAGTCTAAATGGAAATGAGTTAAAGGGGCTAGGCAGCAGCACACCGTGAAGTAATCCGTATTTACAAAGAGGAAGTTGCCATAATATAGGGAGTAAAAGAACATTTTGAGGAAGATAAAATGGTATAAAGGAATTAAGAGTTGGAAGCAGGTAAGATTTTTAAAGTTGAAACAAAATAAGCGACATAACATACATTGACCATTGCGAAAAGTCAGTAAAAACAATATCGTTTTGTTTTTCATTCATTGGGAAATACAAAAACCCTTATTATAATGAATTGACCACTTCAACTCATTACAAATTAGAGACCTTAATTCTATCGGGGGCAGATTACACCTATTAGGTCAGCATTTGTGTACCTGAGTCTTCATGCGACGTCTCTTCACTTGTGAACCATTCTTATCTCAAATGATGTGTTATCATAATTGAAGTAATGGTTTAGTACGCAAAACTCCAGCTAAACTAGTTTGAAGGCTTGATCTTAAAGACCGATTCGCCTTGTCTACCTGGAACTCTACGTCTAATTATAGAATCTCAGGTGTAGGTTTTCGACAGTAAATGGGTTACATTACTAAAACGATAATATTCGAAGATATTGTAGCGACAGAAACCGAATTGTTGTGGGCTGAAGGCTGGAAACCAATCTTCATGTTCTACTGTATAGATTACACACACTCCCAAAGTTCCCGACGACAACAAAAATACAGATATTTGCCAGAAAATCTGCGGTACTGTTTAATGGCAATAACATATAAGAAACCTCAAATTGCCTCACAGTGCTGTTAGGCAGCTATACAGATCCCAGAGTTCTCATGTGTAAAATAAGTACTGTACAGAAAATTAGCCACCCAAAATTAACTGTAAGAATTACTTAGGAATGAAGTTCAAAATACTCCCAACAAGATGGAATCAAAACTCACTCAGCAAAAACCCAACGCTAAACACTTCCCGTAGACAATCGAAGATCAAAGTCTCCAGGACCAACCTTCAATTCATTCAGACAAAGTCACAGTCATAAAACAACTCTATCACACCTTAAGAGAAGCATTAAAATTAAGGTTTAGATAAGAACAAAGTCGACAGATAATATACCAACGTTAGAACAACGAAATACAGTCCAGAAGAAAAGGGGAAAATAATTACAAAGTTGGTTGAAATATCCAAATAATCATCAGTGTTATGAATAGTTCGTTGAGGACGGATGTTCCAAACTATTATTCCATTACACATATACATCCGTCCAACATATCTTTCGCAATGTTGCATGTACAAAATCCAAAAGTCACTAAGGGTCTATGACTGAAATTGTCAAGTTTCTGGCGTCAATTGAGTAAATAAAGAAGTGTAGACTCTTAACAGTTTGATTTCACAATGTCTTTTCCTTCACGTTCCCATGGGAACATAAGGCTTCAGGCTAGTGGCTTGAAGTTTCTGTAGCAGTGGTGTATATTTTTACCGGATGGGGTTGCTAGCCTCATGCCCAACCTTTCCTCTTTACCAGCGTTATTTCTGGCTTAGCGAGGTAAAGGAGTGCGTCGGCCGGGGATCGAACCCCGGACCATGTGCATGGTCAGCGAGCGTCCTAACCACCGACGCTGATTTCAAATTAGCGAACACAATATTATCAACTTTGTACTATTTCTCTTCCTTATGATGGTATCGTTCGATTATGATCTAAAATTTGCTATTGTCATTACTTTTTCCTACCTGTGCCGTCAAGTTAAGATATTGGACATCAACATGAAACAGCAATGCGTCAGTGGTATAGCGGTTAGGATGCTCGCCGACCATGCACATGGTCCGGGGTTCGATCCCCGGCCGACGCACTCCTTTACCTCGTTGAGCCAGAAATAATGCAGGTGAAGAGGAAAGGTTGGGCATGAGGCTAGCAACCCCATCCTGTAAAATAAACACTGCTACAGAAACTTCAAGCCATTAGCTTGAAGCCCTATGTTCCACTGGGGAACGTGAAGGAAAAAAAAATGAAACAGCAATAAACTCTTGACTGACCCATTCTATTAACTTTTAAACTACACTAGCTGTCAATGACAAATTGGATTAAGTGAAATAAATGGATTATTTAGGCACAAAATAACAACTTAATGGTGGCATGTAACTAATCCATCTCGTCACCATTGGTCATTCCATTTCAGCAAACACCTCCTTCAAAGTAATCTGCAAAGTAAACAGCAACCTGGCGAAGACAATACACTTCCGTCTTCTTTGCATTGCAGAAGCCCTAAACATTAAGTTAAAAGAACCAGAACTATTTGAATACAAAAGAAAATTATTCAGCCGCTTCCACTATCATGGTAACAACTCTGTTGATTTGACTTAACTTTTGAGTGTTTTCTCTGACTACTTAAAACTCTTGTATTCCTTTAAAACTCCTTATGTAATTCCGTATTTTATTTTATTTCCATGTACACTCTAAACACAACTCTTTCATCAAACTATTCGTGTTATTACATAACTGTGCTTTAACAATCGCTTGTAACAACTCATCACTTCTTTTAT